TATTATTATTATTATAATCAAAAAGAAGCGCTAAACCACAAGGGCTATATAGCGATAATAACTGCATTATTATTATTATTATTATTATTATTATTATTATTATTATTATTATTATTAGCCTATAAAATTGATTTGTGAAAAAAACTGGGCAGTTAAAACAAGCTAAACGGGAGGCAACAACCAGACAGATAAAACAGATGCTAACAAGAGGCAACAACTGAGCAGTTAAAACAAACCCTAAACAAGAGGCAAGAATTGGGCTGTTAAAATAGATCCTAAGCAAAAGTAAGACAAAGTTGGGCAGTTAAAACAAACCCTAAACAGACCCTTAACAAGAGAACAATTGGGCAGTTCAAACAAGCTAAACGAGAGGCAACAACTAGACAACAATTGGACAGTTATGATATATGTAAACTTAAAACTTCAGGTAACAAACTGGAGAGATTTAAAACAGCAAAACAAAGTTTGTGGGCCACATTACATATGGAAGCACGACTGAAAAATGAGAGGCATTCAGGTTCGATCCAAGTAATAGAATAGTAGCTCCACCTCCATGGATCAAGTGCCCTTCACCGGCATCAAGGGTTTGAGGCAACAACTGGCAGTTTATAACAATCTTACTTAATCTCAAATACTTACGCCAACCTTGCTGTTTCTATTTGGGTTGTATAGGGCCACCAGAGGTGACGCCGTATTGAACCCTGCTTCCCGGTGCTCGGGGAGTCACTCAACTGGTACCTTAATTTAGTCCATCAATAATAATAAAAATCTTTATTTCTACAAGTACATGATATAACTTATACAAACCATAGCTGACATCAGTGACATGCCATACAGAAAGCCCCTTGTTATGCAGAGTATTTTGGGCAAATTAGGAAATAAGTCACTTTGACTGTCTTGGATTATCCTAGTTAATTTACACATGCACTGCTATAAATTAAGCTTTATGTAACTGAATTTATGTGTACCTGTACCTGAATAAACTTACTTATTTACTAATTTTTGTCCCCAGGATGCGATCCACACCAGTCTACTAACACCCAAGTACCTATTTACTGCTAGGTGAACAGGGACAGCAGGTGTCTTGTAGAAACACGTCCCCATTGTTTCCACCTATACTGTACTCGTTACTCTCAAGTTTATGGAAACTACGACCACACAGTGTAACTGTAACTGACTCTCTTTCCTCAATACTTGTTCTGAATAGCCTGAAGCTAGGCTGAAGCTAGACCTGCTAGAAAAGTACTGGGGTTCTTGAAAGTAAACATGAAGGCTAAGTCGATAACCTAGTGATTAGGCTTGCTAGCTTCAGACAGCAAAGACTAAGACTGCAGACAATAATTAGTAACTAGGCATACTAGCGTAATAACCCAGTAGCCAAGCAAACTGCTTGACAACCTAGAAACCAGGCCTAGTGATAAGACTTAATGACCAGGAAGGCTAGTAACCCAGGCTTGATGTGCTAGATGGCTCTAGGTGTACTCCAAACCTGCTACTTTGATAACCTAGCCACCAGGACTGCTGCCTTATTAACCTAAACCATTCCTGGTGGTAGTAGTAAGCGCCGGGTGGTGATGTTGACATGGGGGCCCATATTTTCAGAAATTTAAAACAGATATGCCCATCATGAAACATTTTAAGGCCTTGTCTCACCTCTCCCTGGGTGCTGATCGATGAAACTTGCACCGTCCGTGTGCCTCTTTGATTAGATCTAAGCTTGAGTATGCCTACCAAGTGTATTCCTCAGGCTGCCCTCCCTGTGATGGCCTTTGATCAATCTCTCTTCGAATTTATCAAATTTGTCCAATGGTACTTTCCAAAGATCTTTGAAGAGAAACATTTTGTTATGAATTTTGGAGGTCTTTCCACTGAAATGGAACTGTGGAACACCGTTAGAAATGTGCTAGATGCTTCGGTGGACCATTGCACTGTGTGAAGCAGTTGTGGCATCCTCTTGAAGTGGCACAGTCAGCCAGTCACATGGCTTCTCGAGGATGCCTGGCATCGCCACACAGATCCAATCAGTGGTGTTTTATTTGGAATATGGAAGGCAGACACGGTGAAAAAGGAATTCCACATTTCGGTTTGGGAGAGACATTCTGCAATATGACAGGTTAGTCTTGATACTCTTTCATATACATCGAATTCATTCTGTTTACCTGGAGTTTACCTGGAGAGAGTTTCGGACTTCTTAGATACACTAATCATGGTTCATCTCTCAGGAAGATGTTCTCATAGACGTCAGCAGACTACGGCCACGAGCAAAACAGTGACGTTAATAGATCAGAGGGAGTTAGTTGGACTTACAGAAAATGCAGTCGCTTCTCGCAGATTTTGTGCATAATGTTGATGTATAAGCAATAAAGCTCAAGGGAAATGAAAAACATCGTGTTTTTAAACCTCTGAAAGTCATTTTATTAACCTCAACACTTATACACTAAATTTGTCAATTTAACGTTTCCTGAAGTTAGTTTAATTTAGTTAAATATCTTTATTATACACCCCATACCCATCCTGTGGTCGGTAGTCAATTCAATTCAATTCATTTAATTCAATTCAATTCAAGTTTATTCTCTATAAGGGTTACAATGTGGGGTTTACAGGTTTTGGGTATTGTGTGGTTTACATGTTATAAAATACTAATTACAGAGGGGGCCACTAGGACACCTAGCATGGCTAGGCATTTCGAGCAGACTTAGATTAATTCTTAACATTAAATCCTTACAGATTATGGTATTAAGGCTAAGTGACTACATCATAATTTGTGAGTTTAGCAATGTGAATGCTTTTGTTTTGGCACAATACAAGGTGTCTATATTGGAGTATCATAGGCAAACTTATGACTAGTTTGGATTTATTATTTTAAGATTAAGATTAGTATTTCTGGGTTTATAGTCAGTGGGTGAGTGAGTGTAATTGTGAACCACCAGGTGGTTATCATGTAGTTAGTTGTTGGGGTGTATCAGGGAGATAAGATGTTTTTTAACTGTAGTTTTGAAAGTGATGAATGTGTCTGCAGTTCTAGAGTTTTCAGGTAGGGTGTTCCAGATTTTAGGTCCTTTGAAATACATTGAATTTTTGTAAAGGTTTAGTCGAACACGGGGAAAGCGTTTTAGGTCAAGGTTAATATTGGAGTTTAAGGTCCTGTAGATGTAGATTGCACAGTAGTAAGTGTGGATGTTCTGAACAGGGAGTAAGTTTAGATCTATGAAGAGCGGGGGGGGGGGGTTGCCAGGGATGGGATTTAGTGATTATTCTTACTGCGGCTTTTTGTTGGGTTATTATTGGCTTTAGGTGTGTTGCTGCAGTTGAACCCCAAGCACAGATAGCATAGGTGAGGTATGGATATATAAGTGAATGGTATAGTGTGAGAAGGGCAGTTTGCGGTACGTAGTATCGTATCTTGGAGAGGATGCCCACCGTTTTGGATACTTTTTTTATGTGTTGGATATGGGTGTTGAAATTTAGGTTGTTGTCAAGGTGTAGGCCAAGGAATTTGCCCTCATTATGTCTGGCAATTAGAGTGTTGTCGATCTTAATGTTAAGTTGCGCAACACCTGCTCTGCTACCAAACATAATATAGTAGGTTTTGCCAGTGTTAAGTGTAAGCTTATTGGCTGTCATCCAAGTCGATATTTTGAGCAGCTCCTCGTTAACCATGGTGTTGAGGGTGGCAAGATTAGGGTGGGAGATAACATAAGTCGTGTCGTCAGCAAAGAGAATGGGTTTCAGGCGTTGGGATGTGTTTGGAAGATGATTGATGTAAATGAGGAAGAGCAGGGGTCCAAGGGCACTTCCCTGCGGAACTCCAGTATCAAGTGGCCGTATTGATGAGGCTGTGTCTTTAATGGTGACATACTGATACCTATTAGAAAGGTAGAATTTAAAATATGCAAGTGCATGGCCTCTTATACCATAGTGGTAAAGTTTGTGGAGTAGGATGCCGTGGTCTACTGTGTCAAACGCTTTTCTTAGGTCAATAAAAATTCCTAGCGGATATTCCTTATTTTCCAATGCTGTGTAAAGCAGGTCTAGCATTTTTATAATTGCATCATTAGTGCTTTTATTTTTCCTGAATCCAAATTGGCAGGGGATGAGTATGTTTTGTGTCGTTATAAATGAATATAGTCTCCTGTGCACGAGTTTCTTGAAGATTTTGGATAGCAATAGTAAGTTTGATATTGGCCTATAGTTGTTTACGTCTGTAGGGTCACCACCTTTATGTATTGGTGTAACCCTTGCTGTCTTGAGTAGTGTCGGGAAAGTGCTAGTTTCTAGTGACTTGTTAAAAAGTAATGTAATAGCATGCAAAAGGACATGGGCCGCTCGCTTGTACAATAATTGTGGGACGTGAGACAGATTCCCCGAGTTATTTTAAAGTGACTTTATGATTGCGGTGACTTCCGTGGGCTCAGTTGGTACAAGATAGAAGGAATTTGGGAAATTCCCATCTAGGTAGTCCCCGGCACGAGCATTGGTACGTGGGATTTTACTGGCGAGATTAGATCCTATGTTTGAGAAGAAGTCGTTTATCTTGTTAGCTGTATCAGTGGGATGCAGTGGTGTTTCATGAGGTTTAGTTAGAACAATATTCTTAGGTTTTTTTAGTTTGTGGGTCCCCAGAATCTGGGAAAGTGTTTTCCAGGTTTTTTTATATCTCCTCTTGTGTCAGTGAATCTGCTGGAGTAGTACAGTTGTTTGGCTTTTTTTATTAGTTTGGTACATAATGGGTCCAGGGACTGGACCCCAGCAAAAGTGTATTATTTATGTCTTTTTAGCGGCCATTCAAAAATTAAAAAAGCCATGAGGAATTAATGGGTTATCCGCTCTTCAATGATTTTATGTCCAAAGAAAAGTCTGTACCAAATTGGCGCTTATGTCGAGCGTGTCATAATATTTTTTTTCTGTCAGACAAGATTACCATGAAGTGCAGGTCAGTGCCAATGCCAGTGCCAGAGTTCTGTAACTCTCAGAGCACTTGCTCTCAGTAGTGTGTGCCCCTACTTGAGTTTGCTCCTGGTGGTTGCGATGATACGCTCCATCTTACACACCTCTGCCTCCCTCGGGCTCAGCTCATCTCTGGTCTTGTGGTTTCTCCTCAGGTTGGGCGACAACTTCAGCGTCAGAAGGTATCCTCTGACAGAGAAAGTAGTGAGTTTAAAACCCCGAAATATGAATATACAGCTCACCTGCCTAAACATAATAATACATAACAGCTTACCCTACACTCAGATTCAACTCTCTCTTACCCCACACCTCTCTTACTCACTAGGACTCACCTCTCTCCACCCACCAGAATGACGGGTAGAAGGGACTGAAGGCGACGCAGGAGAGAGCAGAACGACGTCTTTGCAGAATATTCTGCACACACGAGGGCGACATTTGCGGACGAAGAGGTCGTACACGTAGACACGACCCTCGTCCGTCACCCCAACAATAACACTGCTGCTGAAGTACGACCAGGCCAGGCCAGCCACCGGGGCACCTAAGTCAAGGCTCACCAGAGGTGACCTGAGGCGATGATTTGGTTAGAGAACAGCAGTTTAACGCTCCCATCCACGAATCTAATAACATTTAAAGCTCAATCAGTGACTGATCAGGTGATGAGGGTCATCCACAGAAGAGGCCTCTGAGGCCGAAACATTACAGATCTTATGTATTTAATTATCCAAACAAGGCAGTTAGTATGCCAAGAGTTGCACTCCGTGCATTCCTGCGCGCTCGAAATTTTCATGGAAATGTATATACAGATATATCAATTTATTTCAGTATATGCTAACTCAAATTTTCGTTTAATTACCCGATAATAACGAATTTAAGAAAAAACAGACGGGCAGTCTCTGTCTGACGATGCTATACGAGTACATAGATATATTGAACATACATTTTCGAACTCGCTAAAAATGTAGAAGACAGGATTTGCATGATTATATGAAGTGATTTTGGATAAACGGACACAAGACCAATTAATGAGACATATATTACAGCTACGTTTCGCTCTCCAGGAACCAAAAATAACCGTAATGTCTCCTTGGTTGCTTCTGTGTCCCACTGGTTGTCAAATTGGTCTTAATCTTATGGGTTTTTATGTATGAATGTAAGACTCACGTGTGGTACTGTAGCCACACCTTAAGTGACCAGTCGAGGGAGCAGGTAGCGAACACCTTGGGGGTGGGTTTAGGTCG